TTAATTATTACTTAATAGCTTTTCTACCCCAAATAAATTCCTCTTTAATGGAACCAGTCTTTTCACATATCCTCATATACAACATAAATCAATATATATCACACACCTGTATGTGAAAAATAATGTGCATGTTATAACGTCAGCACTCCAAAAATATATAATTATATTCTATGCCTTTTAAGTTTAACAAACCTCAAGTGTCTGCCTTAAACCAAAATGAGATTCAGATGAGAAAAACATATTGAATGTGAACACTAAAGACAAGCACTGCAACTTTATCAGGAAAATCCCTATAGTCCATTGCTAATGTTTTCAGTGGTTGCTATGTTATCTCGCGACTGTGTTACTGGGCAACAACTCAGAAGCTAGGACAGCAAGCTTATTAAGAAACAAATGAATCAAGCCAAAATTTATAAAAGTACTATGAAACTCTGCCTTTTTAAACCTTTAGGGGCGCCTGGGTGGCTTAGTTGGTTAAGCGTCCGACTTTCGCTTAGGTCATGATCTCGCGGTTCGTGGGTTCGAGCCCCGCGTCAGGCTTTGTGCTGACTGCCAGCTCAGAGCCTGGAGCCTATTTCAGAGTCTGTGTCTCCCTCTCTCTCTGACCCTCCCCTGATCGCTCTGTCTCTCTCTCTCTCTCTCTCTCCTAGAAATAAATAAAAATATTTAAAAAAAAAAAAAACAAACCTTTAAATACAGTTAACTGTTTGTCATAAGGATCAGATACAGGACTTACAACAAGACTATAAAAATTACCTAGAATTTATTTAAAGACCTATTTTGAGAGTGCTAGGCACATTCTTAAAATAAATGGATACTTTTGGTTCCTCTCAACTCTATGATAGAACTCATTTTGGATTAAAATATCCAAAAGTTGGGGCACCTCGCTGACTCAATTGGTTAAGCATCAGACTTTGGCTCAGGTCATGACCTCACGATTTATGGGTTCAAGCCCAGAGCCTGGAGCCTGCTTCAGATTCTGTGTGTCCCTTTCTCTCTACTCTTCCTCCGCTCACTCACTCTCTCTCTCTCTCTCAAAAATAAATAAAAAACATTAATAAAAATTTTTAATATCCAAAAGCAATCTGAAGTTACAATATACAGAAAACAAGTAACTGGGCACTTCCTGATTTTCTTAATTTCTTTCCTACTTGATTACATCTCAGTCAAACGACGAAAAAAAAAATAGCTTGACTACATAGCCTGTGATCTCTCCATGACCCACAGAGGCAGCCCCAATGGAAAAATTTAATAAAACTTCACAGAACTGCTAACTTATGATAAGTCTTGACCAGAGGAAAAGTACAATGGAAGTGGATAAAATGGGGGGGGGGGGGGGCGTACAGAGAGAGAGATTATACAAGGGAGAGGGAGGGAGAAGAGAGCTGGGGGGAGGAAGTGCTTTTAAAATTAAGATTCTACCAAGGAAGAACCAGGAAACTGACCAAACTCCCGAGCCCATTTGAGAGCAGTGCGAGCATTCCTGAGGGAGTCCTTACTGCTGATACTGTCATGGGAAATTCTCAAATATCACACTTTCTAGGAATAGAATCTTTCCTTCCAATTCCAATGAATTCCCTCTTTAATCCCCTTTCTTCTGGTTCACAGCTGCCCTTCCTCCCTCAGTTACTCTTGCAAAGAATGTCTTTTACTTCTACTACACTGAGAGGCAGAAAAAAGTAGAAATGCACATTTCTCTAAGAAACATTTATTCAGCAACTTCTATGTAAGAGACTAAGGATACAGCTCATTGAAATCTGGTGTCCTGGGGCGCCTGGGTGGCTTAGTCGGTTAAGCGTCCGACTTTCGCTTGGGTCATGATCTCGCGGTTCGTGGGTTCGAGCCCCGCGTCGGGCTCTGTGCTGGCTGCCAGCTCGGAGCCTGGAGCCTGTTTCAGAGTCTGTGACTCCCTCTCTCTCTGGCCCTCTCCTGCTCGTGCTCTCTCTCTCTCTCTCTCTCTCTCTCTCTCCTAGAAATAAATAAAACATTAAAAAAAAAAAAAAATGAAATCTGGTGTCCTGCTCTTACGGAGCTTACAATCTAGTTAGGAAGGTGAGGCATAAACAGAAATGATAAACTACAATATGAAGTAAAAGGATCAGATGAGTATGACTAATGGAAATACCCTATAGGATTTCAGAGATGAAGTTCAGAACATGTTACCCCAAAGATGCCATTTCAGTGTATTCATTATTATGATTTACAGGTACTTGAGAAATGGCAGGTGCAAAGGGGGCACTCTGCCCCTCCTTTTTCTTTCTGAAAACAGAAGATAAAAATCCCATGTGAAAGGTGCCCTCCCTGTACTAGGAATAAAGAAGACATTCTTATCAACCATCAAAGCTGGGAAATCTGGGAGCACCTGGGTGGCTCAGTGGGTTCAGTGTCTGACTTCGGCTCAGGTCATGATGTCACAGTTTGTGGGTTTGAACACTGCTTCGGGCTCTGTGCTGACAGCTTGCTCAGAGCCTGGAGACTACTTTGGAATCTGTGTCTCCTACTCTCTCTGTCCCTCCCCCACTTGCTCTCTGTCTCTCAAAAATAAACAAATGTTTAAAAAAAATTTTAATTTAAATTTAAAAAGCTGAGAAATCTGTACAAATAAGCCTTATTAAACTAACCTTTACCTCCCTAGTCACTTCTCCACAATTTACTACTCTAAACACAAACCCCATAAAAGCTTTCTGCTCTGGTCACATCAAGTCTTCATTCTCCTGTGAAGGCCCCCAAGTAAATGTAAAAAAAAATTTTAACTTGTATGCTTTTCTCTGTTAATGTTTTATGTCCATTTAATTCTTAGGACAGTGAGAGACTCTAAGAGAGAGAGAACTTTTCCTCCCCTCCAAAGATTATGGTGGAGTTGAATTGTATGGGAAAGAAGGAAAGAAATCAGGTTAGGTAAGCAAAAAGACATGAAGACTAGGAAGGGAGGGAAAAAGCACATAGTAGGTCTAGATGATAAGTAAGGAAACCATTCTTGACATAGCATAGCTTTTCTATAAAGAACATGACGTGAAAAGTCTGTGAAAAGGCAGACTGAGATGTATTTTAAAGAGTTCAAATTAAGAAATGGGAAATTTAGTCAGTAGGAAAGAGCACTTTGGGAATTTTTTTTTACAGATACATATACACATTCCCTAAAAGTACATACAGATTAGACAATCTGACAAAATTTAATTACTGAGCCTAATACATTATGTATGACAAAGTTAAAATAAAACCCATTTACTTTAGGCAGAGACAGTACCTAGAAAAAACACACACAAAGAATTCTGACAATTAACTAATCATTTTGTTAATATTTCATTCTTCTAAGCTTCTGGAATTAGAACTTCCCATGACAAAATTCAGACTTATGCTTACTAAGGATTTTATCATACAACGTGAGTCATTCTGGATTTTTCTTCTCTGCTTGTCTTGTCCGACACTTGAATATTCCATTACTTCAACATCAGCATGTGGAAAAGAAAAGGGGGGAGGAGACTAAAATTAAGTCAAAATATTTTGTAATGCAGAAAGGACATGATGTAGAGAACGTTAAACTTCAAGTTCCAATTCCCATTACCAATAGTTTGATTTCAAAGAAGTCACTCAGTCTCATAGTGTCTCAAACGTTCTCCCCTCCTTCCTTACATACTTAAAAGGTTACAACACTCAAAAAAAAGTCATGAAAAAGTGCTGTGTATACTACCTGCATACAGTCCTACAAATTATATCATTAAGGGTTCAGTGGGTGGAGAAAGACTGAGGTTATTGGCTCAACCAAGGCTTAAAAACCACTTGTGGATATTGTTTCAATCTCCCAATACTCTATGTAACCCTAAGTTGGTATTATCCTATTTAAAAAAAAAAAAAATTCTGAATATAACCTGCACCCTTCATCTGGTTAGAAAGTATTCAAAAGAAAGGAAATACCAGGCATAAACTGTTCTAAATAACCAAAGGATAACTCAAATCCATTTGCAACTCTCTGGAGAGTCCTGTAGGACACCGAAATTCAAATCATTCTAGTGATTCCACACAAAATGAGTTTGAAATCAAACCTCAGTAAAGAAGGTGTGTATTAACTGTAACCACCTACAGGCTAAACCCATGAATTTACAGAATTCTGAATCCAAATAATTGTAGGATAGATACATTTAATTATATTCTAGTTGAATATTAGACTTGTTTACAGAGATGTTGCTTGGTAACAGAAGCACTGCTTTAACAACCTACTCAGTTTTAAAACTCCGCATTTTGTGCTCGATCTAAACACTTTCAAGTATAGTATATATAAGAGATTAAGAACAAGTTTCTTGCCATCCTAGACATCTTTGAGCTTTTACTGAAACAGCTTCATAATAACGTAACTTAAGGCTCTAAACATACGTAGCAATGGGCATTTTTAAAAGCTAGGTGCCCATTTATTACAGACAGAAGCTGGACTGCAAGGGTTTATCACAGTGTCCATTTAAGCCCGGCATTCATTTACACAGTCTAGACGTTCTCTCTGAAGTGACTGCCAAATATCGCTATTAAATTCGTCTGCAGGGTCACAGAAAATGGTAACATAGTTTTTTCATCTCAGATTAAAGTGGAGGTATCACAACACGTAGCCAGTTTACTACCTGGCACCTTCTGGGGTGCATCAAAGAGCTCCATAAAGGGGCGCCTGGCGGGCTCAGTCGGGGGGGGGGGGGGGGCATGCTACGCTTCTCTCCGGGCGGACTCTTGATCTCAGGGTCGTGAGTTCCACCACCCCCCACCCCCCACCGTTGGGTTTAAAGATTACTTAAATGAACTTTTTAGAAAAAGAGGTTTTACAAAAGCTCCACAGAGTTTCACGTGCACTTAACTGGCTCCAGAACACGTCTCACAGCCTACGTTTCTGACACCCGCTCCAATTACTTTACAGGAAAAGTAGTAACGACAAAAAATTCAAGGGCCAGTTGTGAAGAAAAGGAGTGTATTCCAACACTACGGACAACACAGCGTCCCCATAAAAAGAGGTTACCTACCAGACTCACACACAGTCCTTGCAACGTGCGCGCATAAAACTTAACAGCGCTCGGTGCTGTGGCCACACTTGCCACCGGGGGACACCTGCACAGCTCCAACCACGGGCACCCACTCAACTCTTCTCGCACGGGCATTGGGGCTAAGGGAGGCGGTCCCACACGCGAGGTGCTGGCCCGGCCGGCGGCCGCTCGCGGCGCAAGCTGAATAGGAGCAGCAGCAAAAGGAGGGCCGAGCGCGCCCCTCGAGCTCCCGACTCCAGGGAAATCTGAGGTATCCTGGGAGAGCTCGGAGGGCAGAGAGGGCGGCGGCGGCGGTGAAAAGCCTCGCTCCACTTCGGCGAACGGGCTTTCTCAGGGTAGCGGGGCCGCCCAATAGCCGCGGACCGGTGGAAACGCCACCCACAGCCCACCGGCTGCCGCCCGCCGCCCCCAAGCCCAGCGGGGCCGACTGAGTCTCGAGACCTAAGAGCGCGCGAAGCAGGAAGTCCCGCCCCCACGTCGACGTCACCGACGCCGCGGACGCCGGCCCCAGCTAGCGGCCGTTAGAGGGAGGAGGCGAGCGGAACTGTGGCGGGAGCGACCAGCGAAGGCGGGAACGCCGGGGCTGAGGCGGCGCTACGATACGCCGCTGGGACGCAGAGATCCCGTGAGCCGAAAGGAACCGAAAATCCGAGACCGGGCACTTGCTTCAAAGAGCCAGAGTGAAGTGCGCGGTTGAGTGGGAAGCCGATCTCCCTTGCTTCCTCGCAACGCAACGTCTCTGGCGCGGGGGTGGTGGGGGGGTCCCCTTTTCCCGCTTCTCCTTCCCTCTGCCGGCTCTTCTCACACTCTTGCGGCTCTGAGAACTCCGATGAGGTTATGCCGCCACGCCCTCCCGCCTTCGTCCCCGCTTGTGTAGATTTAATGGGGCCAGGAGTCGCCTGCCTGCGACGTCAGTCTTGGGGCATCAGCCCCGAAGTGGGGAGTCGGCTCAGTTTGCCAGGAGGCAACAGCCAGGTCAGGACAGGGCCCCGCGGTGAATCCTACCCTCGCGTTCTCCTCCAGACCTTAACTAGTCCCCTCAAGTCAGGGCCCGCTGGGGGTGACATTGTGAACCATTTGCCTTAAGGTTGTAAACTAGAGTTGGAAGAGAAGCTACTAGTTTTTTGAGAGCGTCACTTACATGCCAACACCTGAAATGAGGTAGGGTTTCAGCCTTTACGAATATTGGTAGAAGAAATTGACACTCTCCCTTGGTTTGGGGTTTCGGTTCTCACTGCGTTGTGAAGCACAGCTTTTTACCCTCAAGGGCAACATTTTCGGGCTCTAGTTATGACTAGAAAGACAACTCAGATAGGAACTTTTTTGTTGAAAAGAGGAAAGGGGAGCCATTAGATGGAACACTTGAGTTGGGTAATGGAGTGTCAACACATGGATCACAAAGATATGGGAGGTAATATCAGTGAACAGAATATGGAATCCAGAAACAAACTGCTATGCACGTACGAGTGTTTAATTTGCTGAGTATTAGGGGTCAAGTACCAGAACACTTTTTCAGGGTCTACGATTTAACCCTAAGATAGCTGCAGTTATTATCTTGATTTTACATTACCGAGAGCCATCACTGATAAGTGTTGAAGCTAGGAAGGCTGGACTCGGAAGTCTTGCTGGTCATCAGTAACCTATATGCTACAAATCACTGCTAAGTGGGAAAAAGATTATCTGAGAAATAATGAACCACTGGGGACAGGCTTTTTATCTACCTCTTTTGTCAAATAAGTACCAAATGGGGGCGCCTGGGTGGCTTAGTCGGTTAAGCGTCTGACTTTCGCTTAGGTCATGATCTCACGGTTCGTGGGTTCGAGCCCCGCGTCGGGCTCTGTGCTGACTGCCAGCTCAGAGCCTGGAGCCTGTTTCAGAGTCTGTGACTCCCTCTCTCTCTGACCCTCCCCTGCTCACGCTGTCTCTCTCTCTCCTAGAAATAAAAATATATATAAAAAAAAAAAAAACAAGTACCACATGAATCAAAAATTTAAATGTACAGAATGAAGCCCTAAAAGTACTACAAGAAAATCGAGGTGAATCTTTATAATCTCGAGCTGAGAAAGACCTTTGCTAAGTATGAAACAAGAACCAGAAACCATAACAAAAAAAATTTGGTAAAAATTAACTACATAAAGATTGAAATATTCTATATACAATTCATGAATGAATGGAAAATAAATTGTATCATGTGGGAAAGGGAAAAATATTCCTCATATATAAGGAGTTTATAGAATATCGATTTTTAAAACACCACAATAAAATTAGCAAAGGAAATCAATGGACATTTTTTTTAAAAATTTTAATATTTATTTTTTAGAGAGAGAGCATGAGCAGGGGAGGGGCAGAGAGAAGGGGAGACCCAGAATCTGAAGCAGACTCCAGGCTCTGAGCTGTCAGCACAGATCCCAATGCGGGGCTCAAACTCAGACTGCAAGATCATGATCTGAGCCGAGATCCTTTGCTTAACCAACTGAGCTACCCAGGCATCCCAGTGGGACATTTTTAAACCAAGAAAAACAAACCTCTGTAACAAATGAAAAGATGTTCAACATTCCAAACATCCTTTTTGTCCATTAGAGAAACATAGGGATATAGGGTTACAATTACTATATTGTGTACTATTGGTGTTAAAGTTGAAACTGGGACAGTCTTGGGGCGCCTGGGTGGCTTAGTCGGTTAAGTGTCCAACTTCGGCTCAGGTCATGATCTCAGGTTTGTGAGTTTGAGTCCTGTGTCGGGCTCTGTGCTGACAGCTAGCTCAGAGCCTGGAGTCTGCTTCAGATTCTGTGTCTCTCTTTCTGACCCTCCCCTGCTCATGCTGCCTCTCTCTCTCAGAAATAAATTTAAAAAAAAAAAAAAAGAAACTGGGACAGTCTTATTTACCAAAATTTCATTAACCTTTGCCCTAAAGTCTCATTTTCTAGTCCCTTCTAAGGAAAATAACAAAAAGTAAACATCCATATGTATGTTCCTTACTCCTTTTTTGTAATAGGTGCTTTTAGAAACAATGTAAGTGCCATCGCTAGGACTCTAGTGTGCACAATGGAATTAATTAAGCCATTAAAAACAATGATACATATTTATTTACATGAAAATATGTTCATAGCATATAGGTTCACCCCCCCCCATAAAACAATATAAATCAGCAGGAACAGCATTATTGTTACATGAATATGTATGCGGATATATGTAGATACAAGTATACAAAAAGATCTGGAAGGATGTTGGCCAAAATGCAAGAGGTTTTTATTTTGTCTTTTGGACTTTTCTATCTTGTTTGAATTTTTTATAATGTATTACCATTTATACAAAAAAAAAATCTTATTTTTAATTAAGGATATGCCTGTGAAAAGGGGATCCGGTTTGCCAGAGACCGAAACTGCACAGGTCATCCCTGATGGTAAGGCCCAGGGAAACACCTGTGTGAAAGGATTGCGCAGATCATCCCTGATGGCAAGGCCTAGAGAAAAGACTGCAATGCAGTCAGAAGAACCCCCGGAAGAATTCTTCTTCTCTACTTTGTCTGTACCTTTTACTCTCACTTCTGCTGTTAGTCTATTGTAGGGTTAATATGAAACCAGAATCACCCAAAGTTCCCCCCTTCCTCCAAAATGGAATGTACCTAACTATCATGTCTGCCCCCTCAATCAGATGTTGTCTAATAAGTATTGTAGCAATTAGCAAAATTGGAGACAGTCCAGTATGCATTGGGTCTATGAGAGACCTAGAATTCATTTTCCTTGTATGAGTCTAATTGCCAGTAAGAATACATATTATGCCATAAGCAGAGACAAAAACAAGACTAACTAAATGTGGAGGACTTTCTCAAAAAAGTGTTAGAGAAATATTTGCCTGCTGACCTCAAGCCTGTAAGGCAACTTATGGATTGTTCTGGCCAAAGAATGAGATTGGTAAATGCAGAGACCAAATTCTAGTTGATCCACGTAAAACATTTCCATACGTCATCTATGATAAATGTTAACATTGTTCTTTCTTAGTAAGGGGTTGTGAGAGTCTGTTACCTACAACCGCGGGTACAAGTATATCCTGTTTTTGCATGCCCACTGAATTGAAACAATTAAAGGGCACTGTGATCTCATGTATTCTGGCAATATACTTCACTTATCCTTAGATACCCTGTCATACGTAGTAAAGAATATGTAAAACTTTGTTATGACTACCTGGTTAAATTTTACCGGTTGAAGTGGAAATTACGTACCATGAAGTCACTGTTGCCAAGAAAACTTAGAAATGTTAAGTCCTATGACTGTACTCAAAAAATGTAAATTGTTTAAGCATGATCGTTTGAATTTGCTATATAAAGACCCTAAGCTGAAAAATAAATTTGAGCAGTCCACCTGAAGAGGCTGGCTCCGTGTCTTCTTTCGCCGACGCCAACCATCACTCTTCGGGCCAACCCTGGCTTGCAGAGGCTGGTCCCCTGCACCGGTTGACTGTAGATGCTCATAAGTAGATAACCAATGTGAAGTAATTATATCTGGGATCTAAATTCTCAGCTTTTTAAGTGTCCATGAATTTGATTATATTAATTTACCTCAAGTTTAAAACTCATCATTTGGACATCATGGTATTGACTCCCTAAATTGGCCTGGGTATTCTTCCTATGTGTTCTCTGTGTACCTCTCATGGTATTTGTTACAATGAATTGTAATTCCTTCTCCGTCACTAGATTGTTCCTACAATATATACCCTTTTCTGCCATATTTATATATTTATTTTCCCGATTCATTATTTGTCATCTACTTTATTTTGTATGCAGAAATTTTAATTTCAGTGTAGTCCAAATGCTAATGAATTATACAGATATTAAAGGGATTTTTTTCAATAAATTTGACAACTTAAGTGAAAAGGACAAATTCATGAAAAAATACAAAAATAACTGACACAAGAAGAAAAAGAAAAGTTAAATGGCCCAATATCTATTAAAGAAATGAAATTTCTGATCAAAAACTTTCTCACAAGGAAAACTCCAGAGCCAGATGGCTACTCCAATAAATGTTATCAGACTTTTAAAGAAGATAAAGTATCAATCCTATATATTTCAGAGAACAGAGCAGGAATGAACACTGAAATTCATTTTATGAGGCCAGTATAATGCTGATATCAAAACTTGACCAGGACAAGGCACCTGGGTCGCTCAGTCAAGCGCTGACTCAGGTCATGATCTCACAGTTTATGAGTTCTAGCCCCGCTTGGGCTCTGTGCTGACAGCTTGGAGCCTGGAGCTTGCTTCGGATTCTGTATCTCCCTGTCTCTGCTCCTCCCCCATTCATGTTCTCTCTCTCTCTCTCTCTCTCTCTCTCTCTCTCTCTCTCTCAAAAAGTAAAATGAAACATTAAAAAATTAAAAAAAAAAAAAAACTTGACCAGGACATTTTACAAGAAAATTACAAACCAATATCCCCCAT